AGAAATAAAAAAATTGAATGAAGTAGTGGTAGATAAAAATTTTTTTAAAATTAACATTCAGATATGTGCAAATTCTCATTTGCTTCATAAACAAAACATTTTAGTTGCTTGTTTATTTTTCCACACAGGTGTTTTCACATCTTAGAAACATGTTTTAGCTTGGTATGCCAGTCTGTGATAATTTTTCTGATTAGAGTTCTAAATTACTAACTCCTGTGCCTCCTCTATGGCAGTATTTACACATTATGCAGTAAAGTATCAATTTTGAAGTTAGTTTCTTTGCAAAGCCTATGTCTTACTTCATATTCTAACATAACAGGTACTCAATAAGTGCATGACAATGAACAAAATAAAAATCACATCACATTGAAGAACATTAAAATACACTTTGATTTAGTTCATACTTTGGTTCATTTAAAAGAAAAAATTTATAACCAGATTACTTTGTGCATTCTACAGGTGTTTGCATCTTTCTTAGCCAATGTGTGAGTAAAGATGTTTGCATTATACTGTCAGTGTTAGTGGGAAAATGCCTTTAATAAGGCATTAAATTATGTAAATTATTGTAAAAATTCATTAAATTATGTAAAGTTGGTTTTCAGCTTTGGTTTAAATACTATTTAAAGGAAAGGAAATAGTAATAAAATTACATTTAAAAATACATACAGTTGAGACTTGAGCACCATGGATTTGAACTGTAAGGGTTTGTACTTGTATACCCACTTATGCACAGATTTCTTTCCTCTTGTTACTGGGGTGAGCTCAAGTGATACTACTATTTGCTAAAAATGTTGTGTAATGCTAATCATTGCCCTGTGAACATTCATCAGGTGGAAATGATAATTGTCACAAGGTATTTTAAGTGGATACTCACAACACTAGAGTCTTGATAAGCACTGGACTGATGGCCTCAAAGTCCACAGTTCAAACCCACAAACTACTCCTCAGAAAACCTATGTAGAATAGCTATGAGTCAGAACCAACTGAACAGCAATAACCACAAACTCACAACACTTGAGTTAACCATAGTACTATCAGGAAAAAAAGAAAATCTGTATATAAGTGGGTCTGTACATTACAAACCAGTGTTGTTCAAAGTTCAGTTGTATTGTTTGCCAAGACTTATTTTAGTAAGATGTTGAATATTAAATTATGCGAGGGTATTTTCAAAATATCCTAATTTTTGCTCTTAATCTGAAAAGTGCCACTGCCGTTTGGTCTCACATAGATAATTCTTTTTTTTGTTTCTCAGATGCTCTTTGTCAATGTGAGGAAATAACCCTTTATTCCTAGTTTGATAAGAGTGGAATTTTGTTAAATGCTTTTTTTCCCTAGATCTATTGCTATCCTGACACAGTTTTTATTTTTCAGTCTGTTCTTGTGATGAATGACATTAATTGATTTCTGAGCATTGAACCAGTCTTGCATGCCAGGAATAAATTCTGCTTGGTTGTGGTGTATTATTATTTTTATGCATTGTTGGATTTAATTTTTTAAGATTTTATTGTTGATTTCTGCATTTATATGCATGAGAGATATTTGTCTGTAATGTTCCTTCCCAGTAATGTCTTTGCCTGGTTTTGTTATCAGGTAATATGTCCTCCGAGAATGAGGTAGGTAGTGTCCCCTCAGCTTCTGTTTCTGGAAACAATTGCAGAGAATTATAACATTTCTTCTTTCAATATTTGATAGAATTCACAAGTAAAATCATCTGGCACTGAGGCTATCTCTTTTGGAAAGTTATTTATTTGCTGCTTCAATTTCTTTTAAAGATAGAGACCTATTCAGATTGTCTATTTTTACTGTTACGAATTTTGGTAGGTTGTGTCTTTCAAGAAATTGGTTCATTTCACTTATAGCTATCAAATTTGTGGCCGTAGAGTTATTCATAATATTTCTATGCAATTTTATCACATGCCTTTGCTACCACAGTCAACATACAGAGGTAGTTCATTGCCACAGCATCCTGGTGCACTCTTTATAACTGCACACACCATCCTACCTCTTTCCTGCCCGCTCTCATCCTTAATCACTGGTATCTACTAATCTGCTACATAAATGAAATCATGCATTTATGTAAAATCATGTTATAACTTTTGGGAATTAGCTTTTTCACCTAGTAAAATTTCCTTGTTGCTGCTGCTGTTAAGTGCCGTCGAGTTGGTTCCGACCCATAGTAACCCTGTGTACAGGGTTTCCGAGGCTGTAAATCTTTACAGGAGAGAACCCCTCATCTTTCTCCTGCAGAGCGGCTGGTAGTTTCAAACTGCTGAGGTTAAGGTTTGCAGCCCGATTCGTAACTACTATGCTACCAGATTATGTAACAATAGGTTGTTTCTTGTTAAGACTGAGTAGTATGGCTATACTATATCCATTCATCTACTGAGGATATTTGGGTTTCTAGTTTTTGTCATTACTAATAAAGCTTCTGACTCCTGGTGTGGCGCTATGGGATTAGTACTAGACTTGGAACTACAAGGTTGTCAGTTCAAGCTCACCAGTTTCCTAGGAAGCCCTATACAGGGTCACTATGAATCAGAACCGATGCTATGACACTTAAGAACAACAACCAAAAAGCTACTATGAGCATTCCCGTAGAGGGTTCTACATAAAAAGAAGTTTTCATTTGTCTTGGATGCATGCCCAAGAGTGATTCCTGAGCCATATAATTAGTTAGTTTTTAGTTTTGTGTTTCCGAATCTGTATTTGAAAAGATTTGAATCCAAAATTGCCTTTTATTTGCACACCAATCAATAAGCAGACATGTCTACAAGACCCTAGTCAAATAAATCAATCATGTGATGGCCATTTAGGGGCTTCACTTTTCTGATTAAGTTTATTAGATTATATTCCTATGACTCTCAGTTCTTGCAGCCCCTGTCATTTTGGTCCGTTTTTAGAGTCCATATTTTATGAGGTTTCGATTGAGGTTCAGTTTCTCTTTTGCCTATGGATAGCCAGTGCTCAGCATTATTTGTTCAAAGGGCTGTCCTTTCTTAAACTAGAAGCAAGCCTACTGCCATCAAATTCCAACACATAGTGACCCTGTAGGAGAGTACAGAAAGTGAAATTGATTTTTTAGACATGTTTTAATTTAACGTTTGGTAAAATTGAAGAATTGTATAACCACCAGGACACAAAACAATTGCATCCTCTTAGAAAACTTTTGGTTTTGCCATTAGACCCTCAAAAAGATGTAACCAGAGTGGCAGAGAGCAGATCAGTGGTTACCAGGAGCAGGGGCGGCAGGAGAGCGTAGTGACAAAAGGGTAATATCAAAGAGTTTCTTGAGGTGATGGAATTGTTTTGTATCCAAATGAATTATGGGCTTTGGATTCTCTTCCACTTCCAGCCTGTGTTCCCATCATGGAGACATCAACCTTCTTCCTGTTTTAAAAAGAGGCAGTTTTCTACCTGACCCTGAAAGATATGGAGTAGGAATTAGACTTTGGGCTGGGGCATCAGAGAAAAACTTGGTCCAAGCAGCAATTAGTGACAGGCCCTGACAGCTGGAGTTAACCCTCTGCCCAATAAAGAGCCCATAGCCTCAATACCAGAATATCAGTCCAATTAAGTGTGGCCTTGACATTGTGCCAGACATTCCTTTTCCTAAATTGCTGGCGGTAGTGGAGGTCTTTCATTTATAGCAGTTGTTATAAAATGAATTCTTACCTTCAAATTTAAGGCTTGAGAACAGAGACTATGAATAATTGTCTATTTAGTAGTATACTTGAGCCCTGGTGGTGCTGTGGGCTAGGTGTTGGGCTGCTAACCACAAGGTCAGTGGTTCAAATCCACCAGACACTGTGAGGGAGAACGATAAGGCC